ATCTCTTTCCACCCCGCAGCTCAATACTTCCATCCCTCTCTCGATGCATTGTGCGGTTCCTCCCGCAGAGGATTAAGTATCACGATGTATACTTTTTCTTTTTTCCCGTCGAAACCCTCGTTGACGAGTAGCAGCCTCGGCTCATCTGCATATTGTAATTTGAAAGCTGCTGGGCCTCTTCATTAGCGCACAATGATGGCTCAGAACAATCAGGCGACGTGTTTGTTTAAGATATTGCTCTCCTCATTCACGTCACTTTGATTTTCTCGCCCAACTTACCCACGCAGCTGAAATTGCAGATGCCCCGTGATGAGCTGCATGTTAAAGGATTATCTCTCTTTTTTGGCCATGTACGCTTTTGTCGAGTTTGCGGCACGTACGGCAGGCACAACCAGAATAGAGACACGTTTACTCCCTTTGCAAATGATTTGAATATTTTTTACTTTTATTTGCATCATCTCGTTTGCATTACATTCACATTTACATATCACTGTATTCTCTTGAGTTTTCTTATAAGATATATTGAAATTCCATTTATTATTTAATTTCGTACAATATCCAAAAAAATTCCTTGCAACTTTAATATCCACATATATGCATATATTCTTATTAAATTTGTTTTTTGATTTTTTTTGTAAAAAAGAAAAAATGCGACTGAAAACAAAATATTTTACTTTACAAAAGTCAGTTGATTACACAAAAAACTTCCGTCCGAATTCAGTGAAGCTCGACAAAAGCCAGTTTTTTAGATGACCGGTGCAGTATCTCAGCGAGACGATCAATCACCAATTTTGTCATCAGGCGTTGCACCTTTAGCGTCCCCGCGCGCCTATATTATATCAGAAAATCGTGACACAAAAGTGGCGACCTTCTCCTCCCCTATTCGGATGCATCATTACGCGCTCGCCTAAAAAGACCACACCCGGACATAAACAAAAAGTCTGCAAGAGTGTATAAATAATGCAACACACAGGCCCTTTCACTACTTTACTGCATAATAGGTAAAATGCACAAGCGCCCCTTTGTGCGTGGAGCGAGTTTAACGGAACGGCGGGTGCTCTCAAATTGACCAGCACAAGCGGTCGCTTTATTATCGCTAGTTAGTCAGGGGCGGCGAATTATTTTATTATTTTTTACGCCCGATCGCATAGTCGCGTTTGATTGACAGCCTTCATATTTTACATGCGGGGGTTGTTGATATTATGTTGCAGACTTGTTTCCGAAATGTGTGGTTTGTCATTTTTTTGTCCGGCGTGGGTTGAATGGAAAAGCAGTTTTGACTATATGGTGCAGACGAACATTAAACATGCCATTTTGCCATGTGGATAAAGGATACAGCAGCACTCACTATTTTTTATCAAAGTAATGAATCGCTGACCAACTGACCAAACTGGACTCGCTGCGGGAGATTGTGTGTGCCCTGCATGCTTTTTCGAATATAATGGAACGTACGCTGTGGATATATGGATGTGTAGGGGTGGTGAGCCCTTGTTGCGTTTAGTCGTTCTAGATTTTAGAAAAAAAATAGAGCTATTTTGGACAAATTAAAATATTTAAAAAGTCACACTACTTTAACAATAAAAAATAAAATAATAACAATTTACAAATTATAATTTTTAACTTCTACAGCATAGTTTGTCAAATATTTTTATATTATACAAGTTTTATAAATTTTAATTTTATAATACAATTTTTAGCTCACTTTTTTCAGAAGAATTTTCAAAAAAAAATGTTTCAAAACTTATAATTAAATTTGAATTTGTCTACTAAAATAAATAAATTCAAGAACTAATGTTGTATTCTTTCACAAACGAAATTTTTTTTAGCTATTCTACAAGAGTCTCAATTCATAAATGTTGACGTCTAATAAATACAAATTAAGTTTGCACTTTTTGAAATAATAATACTATATATACAATAATAATAGCTGAGGAGGAGAAGAGAATCAAATTGTTCGGAAATTACCAAAACACCTACATCTGCGTTAATTTTAAGGTTAATTGCTAGCGTACAGGGGTAATAATTTTAACTAATTTTTATTTAATTTTGATGCACATTTTCATTTTGTGGTTTCCATCAAAGTGTTTCTTGTTAAATTACTAATGTTAGTTGGAAATAATTTAAATTTTGTAATAATGAACCGTTATTGCTTCGATTATTATGTTAGAGCTTTCTATTCTATTGGCATCGGAACATCGACAATTGCAAACCACCTTCCTTTGACACGCACTGCAGGAAGTGTGGCTTGTGACAATCAAACGCGTTTTATTTGTAAATCAAAACGTACGCAACAGTACATTCAGCGACTGACAGTGGTGGACGGATTGAGCGCAGCAAAAGAATCATCTGCTTTTCCCCATTGTGTGCAGTCGCAGCATCTCTCTCGCTCGAAATGGACCAACGCGTCACCCTTGACAAATGCACCGGATGAAAGGAGCGCGCCTATCTATAGGCTGGAGAGTGCGATAATTGCCTTTATTGTTAGATATGACACAATGTCCACTCGGCTACTCACTTGGAGCGAGCAAGAGCCGCTCTCATTGTCTTTTCCGCTCGCTGCTCAGCCGGCGAATAATTTACTTTATTTCAAGTTGCGCTAGTCGTGTTTGGAAGCTTGTTGGATTTAATCGGACTCGCCATTCAAATTTATGTGCGTGCACTCTGGGCGAGCAGATGAAATTGAAATGAGCAAACCAGATTAGTTCTCTCCGAGTGTGGTATTTGCATGTTGTTCGCATTGTCCGAATGGAGCAGAGAGATGATGCCTCTCTTGTGCCGCGTTTTGGGAGTAATTCCCGGTGATTACAAACGATTATATAGAGAGGCTTCTACGTGATTTAAGCGCACATTCAATTGCATTCAAAGTTTAATTCAAAACGTGTTCTGGTCGTTATTATTCAACAGAGTGAAATTTCAATGACCAAAACGAAAGAAATAAAGCTTTTTCAAAAGTTCTTCAGCACAAAAATGGTCAAACGCAATTTTTTTTAATAATGTTATATAAATCAAATTCATTATAGTTTTATTATCTTATTTATTATTTAAGAAATAAATATAAGTTAAATTACAGAGTTTCCCGAGTTTGGATAACATTTATTTTAAAACATAATTAAAATTTTGAATTAATTTTTTCATGGAATTTATATTTTATTTTAACTCAGACCGTTGTGTAAAAATCTGCCAGCTTGATAAAAATCATAACTAATTCTGAACGGTTAAATGAAAAAAAGTTTTTAATTATGATACTTAAAAAAAAAATATTCTTATTAATTATAATGACATTTTTGTTTTGTTTTTTATTCTTCTCATAATCATCCAGATTATGTAAAATAAATAAAAAAGTAATTAAAAAAATATAAAATGAATAGAAATACAACACCTCTTAAAAAAAGTCTCTTAAATGCGGGGGCATCATAAAGTGATATCCGCGCCGAGATGAGCCGCAAGCTGAATTATTAAAAAAAAGGAAGTTGCTAAAATTAAATTTTACACAAGAACGTGAATTTTGTTTTCTACTTTCATGGAAAGATGCATTAACTAAATTAATGATGTTTCGTTGTGTCATCAACTGTGGGGCCGCAGCATCTGTCCAGGAACGCGGTGACGACTCAATTAAGGCAGACAAGCGTGAACGGATGTTGTGTCCAAAAACGAGAATTACGGCTGCGCATCAAACAGATAAAAACACACACAGCCTCTTTCTGGCACACGCACGCCTCGCTTCGCAATTACACAGTCTTTAATCATCATACGCACTCTCTCTCTCTGTCATTCGCGCTGCGTGTTTACCCGGCGACACATCCAAACGAATATGTAATTTATTGCCGCCGACGACCTTTGACCATACCTCTATATTTATACTAATCCATACAAACGGTGAGTTATAGTGAAAGGGAGAGAGACCTTCTTATTTCCAAAAAGGGAGAGATCAAATGACAGATGCGTCAAAGTGTAATTTTTTCTATCTGTTTCAAAACAATCGGGGAAAAACAGGATCTGTCCAATTGTTCACGGGTGCATCTATTTTCGCATCCCGCCCGCGTGCATAAGTAGGGCGACACAACAATGCACGTGTAATTAATCCTAATGACATTTATTAATGACAGGAGAGCGCGCTCCGTTTAATTCGCATACAACAAGTTTTGTATGCAAATCGTATATATTTGAACACGTGCTGGTTCGCTTGAATAAAGAAGCAGGCTGTCGGTTGACTTTTGGTAATGACGAAATGACAATGCGTTGATTAGCGAGCGAGTGCCGGCGCACTTTCAATTGACTCTAATTGAACACCCTCTGCTGTAGTTGCACACAATCGAGTGAGGATGACGAGACTCTCGCTGGTCTTTGCCATTATTGCGCACTGTACTTGTTTCAAAAGTCAGTTTTTGTTGAGGGCGCCCTTTCCGCTCAACCGGTGAAAAACTTGTTTGGCAAGTCACTTTGAGGTTTGGAAATTTTTTACCAATAGAAGGAAAGCTCAGCACGAAATAATCATAGTACTTATCAAAGAAAAAGAAGAAGCCTTTCGTTAAGCTTTAAATAGTTATTTACTTTCTCTGCTGTCATTATTTTACAAAGAGGAAAATACAAATCATTTACAAATTTTTGTAAACTATCAATTTTTTAAATTCTTATAAATTATTTTGTCTGCTTTAAAAAAATAAATCACTTTATTATTATTATTTTATTTTAATCAGTATTTTAATCTGAAATTATCCATTGAAATTTATACAAAACATTTTGTATTAATTTTAATTAAAAAAAATGTTTTAATTTTCAAAAATACGAATAAACATCAAATTTTAAAATTTAGACCGCAAAGCAGAAAAGACAATTACTTTTTAATTTTTAATACACATTATCACATAAAGCCCCATTGAGCCCAGAATCAAAGAAACCCCTGCCAACAAGAATGGAATTGTGTAGGAATTGAATAGGTCGAACAGAATTCCTGTAAAAATAAATAATTTTGAAAACGAAAATTATTTTCATTCATGAAGCTAACCTGCTACAGTAGGGCCTACAGTGATGGAAATCGCGCTAATTCCATTCACAAATCCAATCGCTTGTACCGCGCCTTCGGGGCCGCACAAATCGAACGCGATAGGCCCGATCAGACTGACAAAGCATCCGTCAGCAAGACCAATTCCCAGACAAAGCAGAATCATGTAGATCCAAGTATTTGCTGCCACCAGCAGCATCGTGAATACACCAATTGAAATCAGGGAAATCTGAATTTTTAAACTTATAAATTAACTTTATAGGAAATTTTTAACTTTTCTTACTTGCTGTAGCAAAACTCTGTTGATTTTCTCGTGGTCGGAAATAATTCCGAATGCCAACCGCCCTACAGTTGAGGAAGCACCGATGCACATTACCAAAATTTTTCCGTCGTCAGCTGGGAAGTTGATTGACACAAATGTTACCTACAAATTTTGATTTTTAGCAATAAATTCTTTTTCTTTTTTCATACCAAGTGGACAATTGGGACGTAATAACCAAACACTGCACACGGAAGTCCGATGGTCCAAATAACAAATTTTTTATTCTTCCAAATTTTTACGTTGAGGAAAGTTTTGATTTTCAGTTTTTTGTCCTCAGTCCTGTCAACTTTGGCCCCTTGAGGCAGCTATTTAGAAATTAGATTATAATATTTTATATAATTATTGTAAATTAAAATACCTTGTATGCAAATGAAGCTGCAATGATGATGATCATCAAAAGGGCAATGACTCTTAGCGTCCACTCCAATCCGATTGACGGAATCAGGGCTCCAAGCACCAATGGCAAAATTAATGTGAAAACTGAGCCACCAGCCGTTGCAATTCCAAACACCAACCCAATTCTTTTTCTGAAATGCAACCCCAAAATGGAGAGGGAAGGGTTGAATGCCAGAGATGCGCCGCAGCCAAACAAAATCCCATAGCTGAAATAAAGCACCTCAACCTAAGATTAAAAATAAATTATCAATTAAAATTTTTTATAAAAAAAAAATTTATCTTGCGTGTTGAACGACGAAAGATGATGCAAGCATTCCAATCAGAGCGAGGGATCCTCCAATGATTGAGATAATTCTGTGACCGAATCTGTCAGTGAGGATGCCGGCCAAAGCAGAAAAAGCGAAAGTCATTGCCAGACTCAACGATCCAACAAGGGCTAAAAAAATATTAAAAATATTGGTTGAAACCTAAAATAGAATGTGTATAATGAAACAAAATCATTGATCACAAAGATTCTTTGATGAAATAACAAATGAAATTAAATATTAATTATAAACTAAAAAAATTTATTGAATCTATATAATTGTGAGTATTATATTCAGTCTTACATGTTTTATACGACGTATCCGTGACTCCGTTAAAATTCAAAATTTTCTGCAGCTCAAAGTAAATGACGCTGTACGAAAGATTGATTCCAAAAACCAATCCTTGGATAACAAAACTGGCTGCAACTGTGAGCCACGCTCGAAATCCTCCGTCCGCCGGTGCCCAAAGGCTTTTCTCGTTTTCTGAAGCAGATTCCATCCGGAGTACTTGGCTATTAAAACTTCTTCCTAGAGCACGAATTGGAACTATGCCAAAAATATCCAGAGGTAAACTGCAGAAAACACGTTTTTCACAGCATAACTGAGTTTCTAGATATGCTTGCATATAGATAATAGCTTTCTTAAGTGAATTTTGACATATATCAAATTGGCTATCGCCTTCTCTAGAACTTTCGTGGCCGCAAAATAGTAAAATGCTTATCGGCCCAAAGTCGCTTACAAGCCTCAATCCTTCACTCAAAATGAAATTTTCCTGACGTATATAAAAAAATTCATGCGCACACAAGGAAAATCTGAAATTTAGGAAATTTTATAAGTATTTATACTATAATATTTTCAGTGTTTTTCCTCATTTTATTTTAATAAATTGAATGTAAGCTAAAACTCTAAAAAGGGTTGAGGTCGATGAGAAGGATGTTTGCGCTGTCGTCTGGCTGCAAAGACAACAAGTAATGTAATACTTTGTGCAAGGGGCACGTTGTTGATTGTCAGCTAATGCAAGTGCGATATATTGCGATAATGTTACTTGTGCGACACTACTTATGAAACAAGCGTCAGAGGTGTGTGTGCGCTAAAAGGTACGTACAAAGAGTACACATTTTTCACTCACGCATTTATTAGGGGGTAAGCGTACATAACACTTGACTTCCAATATAGATTACGCAAGCTCAGAAGGTTGTGATAAGTTCATAGTGCCTAAAATGTCAATGTTAATTATTAATATTTTGTTAAAAAGATTATTATCAGAGCTAAAATAAATAAAAATAAGCACGGTTTAAATTGCAATTTCTATACAAACACGAACAGACACAATTAAAAAATGTGAAAAATTAAGGAATTATAACAAAGGAATTTCAGAAAGTGATTATGATATAAAACTTTTGTTTTTGTTTTATAGTTATTTTGAATTGAATATTTAAAGTATCAACAATATTTTTCTGGGTCAGTTAAATTTAAAAACTGCAAAAATAGTAAACGAAAGATTTAAAACTGTTGCCTGTTTCATTTGAAATCCAATTCCATCTCATCCACTTACGAGTTAACCGACACGTTTTTTGGCGAAAAAATGGCCCAGGGGCTCGCAGTCTGCATTTCGTGCACCCCCTAATAAAAATGATACGCACATTTTCATGACAAAAGACTGATGCTATGCCCTCTCTCGGAGCCGCTTCTTTTTTTGCTGTTATTTGCCTTCAGACCGGCGCGTTTTCTGCTAACAATGGATCTGCTGCAATAAAGTGCAGCGAGTGACACGACGACTAGAGGGTTGGATGTGATTTTTTTACGCCGCTCGCTCGTAGAAAAAGTAGAACAAATATTTTATTACAAACCCACCAATGCACCCCGCGGCGAAATTTAGCGAGAAAAAAATGCAGACAATTGCCACGATGATGATGTGGGACGCGTTCACTGCTTTTTATGTGATTTCACTTGCGTTCGAGTTTTACACTAAATAAACACATTTTGTTTGAGACCATCAGCTTTGTTCATTCGATCGCAATAACGCTCTGAATACGGTTTATGGATGTTCGGCAATACCATAAAAACATCAGCAGCAGTTTTGAGCCGATTCTGATAACGATTCAATCGACGAGAGAAATTTTATGCGGGCTGTTGTTGTGTGACGCGTGATAATTCCTCTGCTCTTTCGTTTCGGATCGAGTGTTAATGACTTTGCAAATACCATCGAGCCGCTTTTTGCAACAAAGTTATAATCTGGTTTATTTATTGCTGCTGTAATTGCCACACATTTTTGCGTCAAAGAGTTCAACGGACTAAATTTTTTTTGTCATATTTTCAAATTATTTTTATGAATGTATTAGTAATTAATGTAATTAAAAACAGTAATTCAAAATTAATTCAATATTTTATTACAATTATTTTTAATTAAAATAAACAAAAAATTTTTAATGATAATTTTTATTTTGAGATTTAGTTTCTGTTTTGAATAGAGCGTCAAAACTTGAACAGAAAATTATATTGAAAATATTTAAAGAAGAAATTTTATTTTATTTTTGTTAATTATTCTTCTTTGATTGATACAAATTCATTGAGATAAGTTATTATTTATTAATTGATTTTGATAATGTTATTTGTATTATTGCGACTGGAAAATGAGCTTATAAATAGCCGCTTTTTTACTATTCATGAGCTGAATGAGCTCTGCGAAATTATCTCTTTAGAAATACAGCATTTGATGACCAGCACCAAATTGTCACAAATTTATCTCTCACTTTAATCAATTTTATAGCGGAAACGACCCACCCAGTCTGGGCGAACTGGTGACGTAATTAATCCACCCACCAAACAACATCCAAACTGAATGAAGGGCTATGCAAATTGTTTATATTTGCAGGATCATCGCTCGCTTTTGCAAAGTTAATTCAATCTCTGCAGCAAACCAAGCACTTCCCATTTTCGGGTCAGACCGAAATGCGTAACTTGGCGAGTCACGTGCCCTGGAATTTGGGTCGGAATAATTGCACGCCCGTCATAAAAGCATAATACAAATATCTCCTCATCCCTTTGGCTTTGACGAGGGAGGCAAGAGCTTTATATCGGTGGTTTATGTGGTCCTTGTGCCTCCGCCTGCAATAATATGGCAGAAAGCAATTTCGCAAAAGCCGCGAACGAAACCGACCTCACGTTGATCGCTGCCCCTATGAACTCTCTATCCACTAGATGCGTTCTGTGTGGAAACCTAGAGCCAGCCACAAACATGTACCCCCAACTAAAGTGCTCGAGATTGGATGCGGAATACGTTGGTTTCAATTGCATTCTTTTGATCAAACAAAGAATAAATTCTAATTTAGTCATTTAAAAATTTACTTCTATGAAAAGCTTCCAGTGCATATTCTTAATTATTATTTATGATAAAGTAATCAATATGATTGCGCACACCCACATAGCTTGTGCATTAAATTTGTTTATCTGTATCGATTTAATTGAAATATGAGATTTTTTTAATATTTCAATGAAGTCAATAATGTTCTAAAAATTACTGTGTTAGAATTTATATTATATCTACGCAGAACAAAGAATTTACACATGATCAGGACGAGGATATATATTCCTTTTCACAACACATCTCGTTGCTCTCACTGAAAAATATTTTTATTTATTAAAGGTAATGAATTTTTAAATATTGGGAATTGAGGAAAATCAGAACATAAAGAAATGGAAAGAAACTTATTTTATAACATTTATAGTATTTAATATTATAAATATTTTTAATAACAGTAAAAAAGTGAAATAAATTGTTTTAATAAAAAATATGTGTCATTATATAGTTATAAAAATTAACTTAATTATTAAATAAGTTTATTCTCTTCAATATAAATTGCTTCATCCAAACTAAACCCAGCAGGGCCGCAAATGCAAATGAATTGATAAAGCAGGTGCACATTTTAATGACTTTTATGCTGGCGGCACTTTAAAACCATTCCAATCATTAGGCATCCAAAATACATTTGATATTCATAATGTAATTACGGCAGCACGCTTCCTGACCAGCCGTCGCGAATTTAACCAATTATGATGGTCGCAGAATTAAAAAAACTGCACTTCTTCTTTTAAACTTTTCATGAAAAGAATAGGGCGGAAGAGGAAATCTCAAACGTTGAGTGAAAACCGTTTCTTTTCAATGCACTACCCAGATGGAGGTTTTCATAATCCATTTTTATTTTCATCATTATTGTATATGCGTTGCATATAAATGTCCGTCACATGAAAAACAGATGCGCTCTTCTCTCGCGTTGAAAACGGCGAGATTTTTGAGTGGCCCTCGTTGATTGTGATGTCAATTGAAGTGCCGCTCGAGTTTTATTTCAGAGAATTACCGAAAGGGTTTTATGCAAATCGGTTTTTGTTCACGCACCGAGGATTTTGTTTTTATTTTGTATAAAAAAAAGTTCCCAAATTTTGTTGCAGCTCTCTTCTTTAATTGGGAACGCCGGTGTGTTTTTATTCATTTTGCCACATTTATGGCGTGCGGTAACGAGATATCGTCTTGAAATAAAGTGTATCCAGTATCACACACATCAAGGTGTAACTCAAACTTCAGCGATGTATCAAGTATTACCTGATTGTGAGATCCGTCAAAACAACGTTACAAATAATAAAGCTCTTTACAAGTAGATCAAGGTATGCGCGCTATTCTTTTGCAATTTATTTTGTCCGGGAAGTTTTCTACAAGTTGTGGCGTGTAAATTAGCTTTAAGTAAAAATAAAAAATACTTCAGAGCTGCATGAGCTAACAATA